TTATAAAAAAGAATGTAAAACATAATTATTTTTCTTATAAAAAATTATTAATTTAACAGACATTTGATAATTGATGTACAAACTTCTATCTATCTTTGAAATTAATTCTTTTAGCAGAATTTTTTATATATTTTACCTGGGGTCGTTCTCTATTGTATCACACTTTCCACAGCAGTAGATGATTTGTAGAGTCCTCGCGACCGGCCTGTAATTCGGCGGACGCTTGAGGACCGCGGAAATCCTCATAACCGTCCCCGCCAGATATAATCAGGAGTTTGCCGCGATTGATGTTGTTCTGCTGCGTTTTGTTCGATTTCAATGAATAACGATTTACCTTCGGACGAGGATCTGGTTTCGAAGGATTCGGCGTTTCCACGCAAGTGAGAAAACGCACGTGTCCTGTGTGTCCGTGAGGAATTCCTATGCGGAGCATCACAATCCTATTACTTAATCCGATAAAGATTTTCAGATTATGAATTTTAGATATAAATTTTTACTAAATGTAGGGAGTTAATGTGTGAATTTCGTTTGTCGTCATTTTTAAATCTCTGCTATAATAAAATAAATTTGTGCGATGGTAATTTCATGTAGTTCCAAGGAAAAACACCCTGATAAGGTCCATAATTGCATATTAAAATGCTAGCATGTGCATATAAATATTAACAGGCGAGTAACAAAATTTAGTTGAATTTGCGTACATGTGTTTGTGTGCATATGTGTATTTTAATGCGATTCAAAAAAAAAACGTGACATTGATCGATCGTTTCTGTATCCTTCCACGTGGACGGACGAAATCGCGCGCGATTTGGGGTGTCGGCCAGTTTTCTAATTATATCGCGGGGCAATAATAACAGGCGACACAGGCGATAGAATATGACGTCAATACGCACCAGTTACGATCGGTGGCTGCGACATCCTCTGAGTAGATGGCTTTATATGGGGAATTGGCACGGTGAGCAGCACGCCAGCGCTCGTACCGATCCAAAGCAACTCGTTGCAAGCCAATAGTGCGGTGACCCTGAGACATGCGGCCTTGTGCTGCCGAATTATGTCATCGCAACCTGCAACAAGTTTAACGCTTCCGTTAAAATAAGTGCCGAATTACATTTTTCAATTACAGTCGTTTTTATTAATCACTCGATCAGACATGGATTAGCTGAATAGATTTCAAAAATAAATATATTAGACACCACCTATTCCTATTTTTTAATATCTTAACTATGTTTGATATTTAACGTTAAATTAATATAATAATTGTTTTAAAATTAACTTTTAATCTTAATTAGAAAAGATTTCAAATTAATAATAAGTTTAAATCAATATAAACTTTCTTATTTCAAATTATCCTGCTTTTAAATTGGTAATCCTTAAATGTTTTAACTAATTTAATCGGGTTTTCCCGGGTTTTGTTCAAGATTTGACACTTACTGGCAAGCATTTTGGTGACAGCTGGCGCGATATTGATATCCGTCAAGCATTCGTATGTACTGGAATGGAAAAGCCTCAGCACAGCGCTATTGTGTAAGGAAATCCAGACGCCTAATCCTCCAGAATTCGCCATACACGAAACGGCGCGGCTCGTGTCGCTGCTCACAGTGAACGTATGCTCAATGTCTAGAGTATGAGTATTCAAAACTTTCACGCTGTTGTGGCAACCGCACCAGAGTTTTCCGGAGACGGACAACATTTTGGTCACCGGCGACGCTACCGTTCCAACGGACACCGTTGTTGGATCAGGCGTGTTCCATCCACTGGCTGTAAAAAGAATCAATAAAGAAAAAAAGTAAAGATAAAACAAGACACACATTATAGAATGCAGAATAAAATTTTATGGCTATTTTATATGCTATTTCACTACTAATTACGAAAAATATTGACACGTACTATGATCTCGAACGTAAACAGTAATGTCTCCGTTGGCAAGTGACACGAACACTTTGTTGTCCAGATATCTAAAATTACGAAATATCATAATATATGAGAACATTGAGTATATTGCAAAAAAAAATAAATATTCTCATATTGCTTTGCAATAATAAAATAGACGGTGATCGTTTACATGATGCAGTGCACACTGCTGCCATGCTGAATCTTCACTTTGTTTTTCTTGATCCGGATGTTGTCGTTGCAGTTGTACACGTGGATACAACCGTCCTCAGTTCCCAACCACATTGTGGGTTGATTCGCGTCCTCCTCTGTAGTAGTATTTTCGATAGTCGATACATCGCCACTCAGCGTTACGCTGCCCGTATCTGCGCATGGAATGTCGTCCGAGTCCGAGTCGTCGGAGCTCGAGCTACTGCAAAATGCGCGAACACAAAGATGAATGTTAAACAAATAAAATGAAAGCAACATTAAAATATACGAGACGTTCATGTAGTAGTATATTATCGTGTGGTTATATTTAAATTCCACGATTACTATGATTTTGGAAGAATTCCATAAATTCCACTTTACTTCATTTTATAAATAATTAATATTAATATTTAATTTCAATAAATGTGTTCCGTTGTAAATTGTAAAAGTAAGGAGTAGTATCACTGGACAAATCATGCGTTCCGAATATTTATGCTCGAGCCGATAAACAAGAAATAATGTGACTATTATTTATTAATATTTCATAATTAATAAATCATATTTAATTATGAACTGCTTATATTGCCAGGTTTTGAATGTCATTATTTACACGTCAAATTGCAATTGGCGCGGGAGAATGATGATTACCTGTCTAACTGTATGTTACCACCACTGGCATCCACATCTTGCACCGATATACTTATACCGCTTTTGCTGTTACCGAACGGACTATTGTTCGACGTGCACGAGTTTGAACTGAAAAAAACAACATTTAAGCCATCTATCTTTGTTTATTCTTCTTCGCTTCGATTAACTGTTTAATTAATGCAATCCTCCTCTGTGCAATTATTTTTGTCATCTTGCCAATCTTACCCAGGTGTGCAGGCGGGTATTCCAGCGACGCAGAGTATTCTGGCGTTGCAGACTCCGTTGCAGGATGTTACTTGTGGAGGTTCTGGACTAAGACTCAACACGCACACCTGACCGACGTAACCGTCGCTGTTGCAAACCCAGACATCCTTCGACCCCTGCCCGTTCGCCAATGTTGGCGCCGCACAGGTGAACTGGAGACCCGCTCGCGTTTTTCTAATCGGTAAAGGTCCCACAAATTCAGGACACGGTCTCCTGTCAGCTGATAGCGCTGCGCATAAAATGGGAAAATATTTGAAATATTCTGCCTCGAAAACTTTACTATTTGTATAATTTTTAAAATAAAACGTATACAACAAATTTGAAGAAATTAAAGATTAATGTTGAATTATTTTTAGAATACAGAATTAATGTAAAAAAATCTTCTTATGACTTTTTAAGTGAAAATACTCGACGAAAGGGTAATATTACCCACCGAGCTTCTGTTTGGCTTCATTAAAACTTTCTTCCCAGCTTGCACGTTTGTCAGGCTTCGCGAACATGACGGATATATTCTCGATACCGGCTCTGCAAACAAAGTAGACAGGTATAATGTAAGTCACGTTGCAATTGCGATTGATTTAGGAATCTAATATTGAACATGTATAATAAAACATGATCAAAGACGATTTTTTCAGAACAAAGAATTTAACAATAATAATCTTGAAAAATGAAATGAAGCTTTATTTTACTGATCTCTAATAAAGTTAAATTTATTTAATTTTCTTTGATTGTACATATACATTGTAAAATAAAATATAAATAAAATATAAATTTATATATTTTAGATTGTAATGTTTTGTAGCAAGAATTTACTACATTGCAAATTTGTACAGACACTGTGCTTTTGCTTTGTATGCAACAAGAACGGGAATTGTCATCAGTATTATATTTCGTCATCATTAATCGATCATTAAATTTTTCCTTATATTTATTTATTTGTTTAATTTTTGAAAGATATGCTTACTGAGTATTAAGTGTAAGTTCTAGGCAAGCCAGCTGCGAATGTGCGGCGTTCCTTTCGGCCAGTTGCCGCTGGGCATGACTCAGCATATCTTTGATAAGATCTTCCAACTGCTGCTTAGCTCCATGCAAAGTCGCAGCAAGCTCCTGCAGCTGAGTCAACTTTGTGCAGTCTTCTCGGAGATAATCCACTTCGCGCGCCATTCGCCTTAAATTTTCGTCTTTGGCTGGAAATGACATTTGTAAAGTCATTTTAAATTCAAATATGAAGAATATATAAATGATGACTTTACGATACCTTTCATTACTTCGAGATCATCCAGCGGAATTCGCATCAGCATTTTGTACTTGTTTGCATCAAGCAAACCGACCAGACTATTCGGACAGGTACTTCTGCAAATTTTTATCTTTTCTTATATTTTTATTATACAAAATGATTTGCTATTAAAAACTATTTTTCTCCATATATTATATTCTATAATACACATAGAAAATTTATTTTTTTAGAAAAGTTCTTAATACAGTATATACGAAGCAATCATTTGTCAAAATTAGTCACTTACTAGTATTTACTAGTATTTACTAGTACTTACTAGTTACTGGTTCCCACGTGTCATGAATCATTATTAATGCTAATGTTAAAGAACACTTTTCCTTTAAGTTTATTTGCATTATTTTTAATTTTTTTAAATAAAATTATTGATATATATTAAATGTATAACACATGATCAAAATTATTTTTAAAAAATTGTTATTTGCAATTATTGCAATAACATATCTATATGTTTTATTTATTATATTCTATATAAAACATTAAAACACTGAAAAATAAGTCTAATTTAAAGATAAATTCGAAAGAAATTTATTTAATTTATTTGATTGTTAGATAAAATTAACAACTTTCTTAATATCAAAGTATATTTGAGATATCCATGTCAAGCGCTTACGTTGACGGCTTCCTTATCGTGCCACTTCTGCGCTTGATACTGGTGATGACGAGGAGATCGGAGAACAAAAATAAAGCTCGCTCCTTCCGTGTGCCCTGATTCGACGCTATGGTGACCAGATCGTGTCGGACGAAAGCTCTACGGGAAAGCAGACAACGTGTCACACGTTGAATTCGATGAATCTTTTTGTCGCGTCGTGGCCAGTTTCCTCTACAGCACGCATCATTATCGGTAATCAATACTCCGATTCCGATGGCTAAATAAGTTCAGTGGAAAAACTATGTAACGCGTGCGAGACGATTGATACAGATTGAAAGGCGCGTGAAGTGGGACGACATTTCTGTCACAGCAATAGTCGATAATTTATTGGAAAATGTTATTCACTACAAAACGGCCTATGGAAACAATACGTACTTTCTTAATTATTTATGTTGCTAAAAGACCGTTCAAACGACTATTTTAAAAAATTTATGTCACGACGATACGCTTTAATTATTATATTTATTTAAATTTTAATATCGATATCGATATCTTAAATAATAAAGACAGTATTAACATTATATCACACAATCATTATTAAAAAAAATTGTCGCTTATATTTTATACTTAAAAACAAGGAATAATATGTACGACAAAGTACGACTTTGACTCTAAATCCGAGAATATTACACTAGAATATGATCGTGAATTGTGATCGCGATTTGTCGATCGTAAATTCCAAGGACCAGCCATCTTTGGGAAAACAAAACTTAAGTATTAACCCACCTATTATATTATACATTAGTTTATTCGAAATTGATTGATGAATTCGATTGATATTGATATTCGAAATCGAATTATTATCCGCATTTTTCGCGACTGGTACAAAAATTGCAAACTGGCACAGAAATTGGCTCGCTGGCCTACCTGTCATTCGTTACGATGCCAGCGAGACCCTCGACGAGAGCTTGAACCTCCCTTAACGTGGTCTGCTGCTGCTCCCATTCGAGCGACTCTCTTTCCGTACAGTTGATTTTCACGACCAGTTCATGCACTTCTTTCTGTGCGGCCTGCAGCAGTTCGTAATCGGGATGCGTCGGATCCGTGTGCTTTAGCAATCTCTGGATCAACAATTCGTATCTCGGAATCTTCTGCACGGGTTTGATCAGCAGCTGGTCCAGTCCCAATTTGCCCTTGTGCTCGCGCTCCATTGTCTAATTGTAACAAAGTATGATCTACCCTCTACCCTTTTTATAATTTTCCTCGGATAAATTTATCGCGGGTTAGAGAAATTAACTTCAGCATGCAATTTAGATATTTTAGCGATAATATAATTATTATTTATAATTATAATAATTTCAATCAATTAATATAGTCTTGTATATTATGAAAAATTCAATTTTTTTAAATAAAATCGTCAATTATTTAAAAATTTTTTAAAGAGGCATGTGTAACCTGTATTATACGATGTCATAACTGTACGTCGCATACAAGAAGCTCGGCAAAACCACCAATCTTTTCGTGTTTTATTACAAACTCAGTAAAGTTAATGCATAATGATAAAATGTAATTGTAAAGTGTGTTTCAGCGTTTAAAGTGGCTAATGCTTTTCAGGGGTAGGTATGTTAAAGATGTGCCGAGCCTCATAGGAATCTAAATAGTAAGTAGGCGACGGTGAGACGCCGGCAATCAAGTAACGAGTTAATTATATCAATAAAATTGCGAAAGGTCAGGTTTGATCGCGACGCTTTAAGAAGTGGCGTGGAATGAAAAAGTTTCGTATTTAATAATAACGGTTGTGTTGTGTAAAGAGGGGAGGAAAGAGGGAGGGAGAGAGAGAGAAAGAGTCACAACGGATAAAATGTGCAGCGTACCTCGAGAAATCGTGCGAAGGCCGGCTTCGCTTGGCACGTTGTTTTTATCGCCTTCCTCGCAGACTTCCAATTGTCCAGAAACAGGGTGTATGTCTCCAGCACCACTGGCTTTGTGAACTAGAAAGCGACATAGGCTCTTTATATTTTTACATACGGACGAAGATATATACTGTGCACGAAACGTAATTCTTCAAACGAATACGTCACTTCAAGGAAAGATATTTAATTCAATTCTCCATAAGCATGAATTTTTTGCAAACTATACAAATAAAGATGTAAAATATAATCTAAATGAATTGATAAATCAATCTTAATATTCAATTTTAAATAAAATATATTTCGTTATTCCATCCAAAATGTTTGAATCCAGATTACTTTGCGCTATGTAGACATTCGGTTAAAAGATTTACTTCAATAAAAATATAAGTGAGGCACATTTTTAGTTTATTTTTAAATAATCGATAAAAAGCTTAAATCCATTCTTAGCAACAACATATTCAAATGCGAGGCGCATAAATTCGAGAATGATGAAATCTTGTTATTCTCTGTATTAAATAATGAGATAAACTTCAAGAGCCATGCAAAGTTGGCACCGTCAAAATTTATTCTGTCTATAATCTTAATCTAACGAATTCCAATACACCGGAATTAATTCGCAGAGGACGAAGCCCGAGAATGATTTTCACCTCGCGTTATATCTTATCTTTCAGAGAAAATTCTGAAATACCTCGACATAAATTTATTCGTTACATAACGCATGAAAAAAAAAAAAATGCGGAACGTAAATAAATGTCTTTCCGAGGATAAAAATATTCTGCGTTTATATAAGGGGACGGTATGGCCGCGTCGTTAGTCAATTTATTAACGCGGGTCGAACAGAAGAATATGCCGCGAATTAACTTTACGATATCTATTGGTTCTATTGACGTCTTGGGAATCTTAACGGCAAAGGGGAAGACGAATACTGTCATGTAATTTATTACGTGTCCGGCCAGAGATATTTGCGCACCTAGTAACAATGTAAACTCACCACATCGAGGAAGACGTCGCCGATCGTCTGCTTAAGTTCCCAGGTGTCTAGTCGCCTACGCAACTCCTCCAAGAATACTTCATGATGACTGAGAAGCGCAGGAATCTAAAATGCATGAGTATTTCTCTTCAATAACTTTATCTTTGATTGATCGACGCACGGTCGAATAATACTTTACAAGAAGAATCATGCCGGAAATCTGAGAATCGATTAAAACATCACAAGTGTGCATCGATTTCTAATATGTGGAGGACTCAACCGTCATGAGTTTATTACATATTGTTACAAATATATATAATTTATCTCTCGTAAAAAATAAAAGATAAATAAGAACGACGATATCGGTTTTGTGCCATTATTAAATTTTAAAGTTTTAGTAATTTAATTAATTTAATTAATTTTATAAAGCTTTTTATTTCTCTATTAAAACAATATAATATACTTTTTGAATTAATTCTAATAATTATTTTATATGTTCAATATTAATGATAAATTGCATTGATATTTAATTAATTAAATTATTAATCTATTTGAATGATGGAATAATAAATTGATGATATATCCATTCATACTTTTCAAGGTATCTGTTAATAATTAACAAATTTGTTAACAATTCGCAAATCGACCACGCTGTAAACAAATTTTAAATTATTGAGTGGCCTATTCTACAATCGATAGTGTTCGCCATTCGAGCGAGATCGATTAACTTCGCGGTTAGATCTTGCCTTCGCTCTAAATCTTCCATCGGTCGGAAGATCGTAAAGCCTTCCTCCATCTATATATATATATGTATATATACAACTCGACATGGCATTTAAAATATAACCTGCGAAGAGAACGGAGGTTCCTCGGTTCCGGGGAAGTTCTGGATGTTAAATTACAACTTGCCGACGAGACATAGATTTATATGCACAGAATAAGTGTGGCGTTCAAGTTTCTATCAAAAATACATCACACTTCTGCAAAAATGCAAAAATACAAAGTGCGGTATATACAAAATGTCTGATACAAATGTCTGATTTCTAATGATATAGCGCTTATGTACAGCGGTAGAGCGGATCAAATTGAACAGAAAAGTCCTGTATTATTTTGCAATTTTCGCAATTAATAACGAATTGTTAATTATTAAAGATGAGCACATATTTGCAAAATGATAAAGGACTTTTTTGACCCGTTCTAAAAAAAATTTTGAAAGTTAATCAAGTACGTGTACACTTGACTATATTTGATATAATTTTGTTCCAGACATTTTGTATGATCGCGTACAAAGTTATAGTTTTGCATTAAATTAGACTGGATTGTTTCTTTATTCTTGTAAATTTTCGAGAATAATTTTTCGTATTTAATTAACTTTCTAAATTTTTTCTTTTTGAAAATGAGGTCTTATTTGAAAAAAAATATTCTATCATTTTGTTTATTTTGCTGTAAAATTACTTTGTTCCCAGTTGTATTATATTATGTATTCAGGCCCACCTTGTTCATATACTTATACACCTACCTGATAAAATATCTCGTCGACTGTTCCGGCATCCGCCAGACCAGCATTCTCGGGGCTTTTCAAGGGCTGTAAGTATTTCTGAAACATAGAGATATTTTTATAATATTGCTTTCCCAACATGTGTAACAATAGTCTTTTTATCTACTAAATTTATCACTGGGACAATAAAATGAAAATAAATATATAGAGAGAAAAGCTGACGTTGAATTTTTCGCAATGGTATCGTTACTTTTAAATAAGAAAATTATTTATTAAAAAGTGAAGTTTCTAATAATAGATTTCATTTAACGTCGCCATATCTAGAAGATCTAAATTATATCAGACAGTATTTGCATGCACGTTGCCGACAGACCTTCGACTCAATTTCGCGTCCTTCAAACCAAAGAAAATCCCGCAAGCTTTGGATACTAGAATTTTAATGCGAGAGTCGAGAAATGAATTCAATTCAATTAACGCCAACGCGTTGATACTGTAATCAACTACAGTAAAAAATGTACCTCGCGGCTTATTTGTATGCTTTTAACAGCCCCCTTTCTATTTATCTTTTTCCATCTTATTTTTCTAGGTCGCATCGCAACGTGAAAAATGCGGAGCCCCCTTCATTTGGTTCCAAGGCCGTCGTTAAATAATCAGCAAACGTGCCGACAACGGTTCCCGTTGTGCCGTAACCGCGTTGTTTATAAAATATGACAATCAAACCAGCAAACGTACGCACCGTTACGCGGTGACGCTTAAATTCCGCGGACGTAATACTAGTTAAAAATCGCCTCGAAGAAACCAGCACGCCCTATTTTGGAAGCACAAACAGTGGAATACGTCCTCGATTTCATTCATCTGCATTTGATGACCAGATGACTCAAATAATTAGATTACGCCATCTTAAATTATTATATATTTTGTCCGTATCATACTTTAATTAAGAACTAAAAATTATTATATATATTGTCTGTTTATTGTCATATTTGAAAGGAATTAAGTTCATTGAAGTTGCATTACAAGAATACTCTTCTAATGCAACTTCAATGAACTTAATTCCTTTAGACCAAAAAAATGAAATTTATTAATATATTTTGCAATTATAGTACGTGTTACCTTTTTAATTTAAAAAAATGATAAAATTAAAAACACATCAAAAGTTGTAAAAAATAAACTTTAAAATATAAAATATAACATAGATTTATGTATATCGTAAAACTTTCTTTATATTATTAAGAGTTTATGACGAAAAATGAGATTTTATTTAAAAGCTAGATGAATTTGTAATACTATCATTTTATAACGATAACTGATAATGAACAAAGTGAGAGGCAGCAAATAAATCACCCGATAAGGTGGCACTAATTTTTCGCAGTATTATTGCGCGCATTATCGTAATTATTCGATTCAATAATTATGCCGCGCTGCAAAACGACAATGCAATTAGTGTGGCATTAAATCACGTAATTAATTAAAACAAAAATCTCATCATCAGTTCTGCAGCGTTTATCCGGACAGTTTTTATTAAAGCGTTTAGTCGACTAGTCTACGCAATTGTATTTTACAAGGCACGTTGCACGTAATGTGACTCACATTTCACACGTGTTTCGAAGATCCGGTGTATTTCCATCACGAGCAACTCATACATGTGCTCAAAAAGGATCGATTTTTTTTCATGGGTTTCGACAAATAAAAAAAAAAAAGCAAAAATTATAGGACGACTTTTAATTGTTATATAATAAATTTTTATATCAATAATCATAAGGTTTTATTCTTTCGGCATTTTTATATCGTAAGGTTTCATTCTTATTTTCTTTTCTACATGTTTAAATGTAAATAATTATACAATTTGAAAGGATGAAGGCCGTAAAGTTTTAAAGCATTTTAGCTTTTAATTTGAATAAAAAAATTAAAATTAAAAACTAAAAGAAATATCTAGCGAGAAATTAAATGCGAACTGAAATGATCTGTACACGTACGAATACCCATATCGGAAATCGAGTGCGGATGGGCGAAAAAAATACTATTGTTCCGTGATAGTAAAGTGATACCTTGGCACACGTATTTACGAGCCGCCTTGCGCAACTCATTGAGCAATTAATTTCGCGAAGCGTCCTTCAGCGAATATTATATGCATTGTGCTGTTAAACAAAATCCTCGACGAAGGACGCAAACTCGCGTTGAAAATTAGATTGCGAGTACAACGCAGCCTTGTGATATGGATCCGCAGCCTGCATTTAATGCATCACATGCTGAGAGTAGTCGTCTCTTAGGAATTCAATATTTCAGACGTACAACTAAACGAAATTTCATATTTACTATTGGCATTGTCTCTACCAGCTATATATAAATTATTACATATTATAATTGCATCAACTGCGCAAGAGAGATTAATGTAATTCAATTCAAATTAATAAATTAATATCTAAATCTAATAAATGAAATCAATTTTTTCCAGGATTTTACGGAACAACGATACATCATAAAATTTATCGTCGTAAAAATGTTAAACTTTTGATTTTAATTATGTCAGAAAAAAAGATTTGCTTATTAATCAATATAATTGATAAAATATAAATATATATATCTCTTTAGCCATAAATATATCATATCATAAGTTATCATACAAATTTGTTCCACCATAAAGATTCTAAAAAAATATTAATTTATACAAGCATAATTTCCATTATAAAAAGTGATTATCATAATATAAAATTTATATATTATTATTATAACAATATATAGTTCTTCAACGACGATTGCTCAAATTTAGAAGATGAAAATAATTATAAGTGTTTAATTGAGAATATATCTTTAGTGATTAGATTAGATTTGTGACTAGATTATGCAAACGCGTAAACCAACTAATTTCCATAACTATTCGTCATGACTTGGTATTTCCAGTGTTTAATCAAAAGCGATTATGAAGTCGGGAGTGGAAATTTAATGAAAACAACAGACTGGAGATGGCGTACTTAGGTGGAACGGGCAACAACTCGCTCGAGTGAAGCTGTTGTTCAATCCACGCGAATAAACGGGCGGGGGTGTTTGTTTACAAGACACAAGGACGAATCGCAGTTTCCGACATGCATCGCCGATGCAACGCCGTTTCTTTCGCCGTCGTGACTTGGGAAATTAATTGATGTAACTCTTTTGTAATCATCTTAATTTGAAATATTTAAAAAAAGAATTGATCCTTCATCTTGACAAAAATTTTAATAGTTGAGAAAAATCTTTATTTTTTATTACATCACCATCAATAAAAATTAAGAAATATAAATAAAAAATCCGAATCATCAAAAAAATTACGACATATCATATTACATTTTTCTGAAGAAAAAGGATATCAAACTTTAAGAAGAAATAAATTAATCAATGCTTTTATAAGTAAGTTAGAAGGAAAATCTTGAAAATCTTTACAAATTAATTAGAATTAAATGGAAAGTATTTTTTTAGAATATTTATTTCCTTTTTATTTATTTTTTCTTGATTGAACTTCAAGTTGTGAAGAAACGCTCTCTTCTTGGATTTATTGTGCTAATAACTATACTTACATTGACTAGTATCTGTAGCGCCTCCACATAAGAGCGTTCTGTATCGTAAAGCTCCACAACCACGTGAGTCCTCGTGTCCTGCAATACAGAAAAGACAATGAGAAAAGAAATGAGCGACATTACAAGGGAAGGAGATTCAATGAGCGACATTACAAGGGCAGCGTTTGACCGAGACGGAAAGCGAACGAGTATCGCTGTCATAGCTCGATTATTGTATCGTCTCGTGATGAAGATCGCACGTGTGCTTACGAAAGAAGTGCACGTGCGATGCTTCACGTGCGTATGTATGACACGTTTGATTATAGTCGTATATACAACATGCATGACAAGTCCCAGGATGTTGCGTCGGCATTGGGATGCACGCGTCAAGATATCGATGAAAGACGAAGTATTTTAATCCTAAGATAACTAATACATAATATAACGAATCATCTTTCAATTAAAAATCCTTCATCAAGCTTCTTTTATCTCGTCATGGTCATCAGATTTTCTCTTCTTAAATGCATTCTTTTTTACTTATTTTCTTCGCGTGTTTCTTAAATCTCAATTTTTTTTATGTAAATAAAAATACAGATAAATAAATATTTATTTACATGTAAAAACAAAACATATATATTTTTACAAAAGTATATTTCGTTTTGATAACAATTGAAAATAGAGAAGGGCCAGATGAAGAAGAAAAGATTTGACTTGTCTAATAATTTTCAAACGACACTTGAGATTATTTTAGAAGTACTTTTGCAGCGTAGTACGTCAAAAGCTTACTCAACGCTTACTCAAGATGCTCGGAATGCTTTTTCATTCAGAATTAGCACTGCCTAGTCTATAAACATCAAAAACAAGAACTACCCACGCGCTCAGAAGTGACGCGTTCGTTATTCTCGCTGTCCACCGATGGCTGACTGACGAGCTTGCGATCAGCATCCATTGTCATCCACGTAGGCCACCTGTACTGAGATTTCGTGAGCATCGACACCCTCTACTCGCATAGTAATCCAAGCAAAAGTACGTATCGATAGTTTCGCAATCTCCCGAAATCGATGCACTGCGAAGCGCGTTTGACTGTAGAATATGCACTCACGTCTCGCGCGTTTCCGGTCTCTCACTTTAATCTATTCCGCTTGGCGGAAACGGGGCGAAACTGAAGTAGAGCTCTTAAGCTTCCGTACGTAAAAGCTACTCTCAAACGTTTTATTCCTGGACTCTTCCTACGAGCTTCAAGTCGATCGCGCTGAAACACTTTTTGTTTCGGTAAACTGCATTGATCACGTATCAATGGAGAAATTAAGTACATCCGTACATTCATTTTCAAATTTTATGATTTGTAAATGCGAAATATACGAAATAAGATATAGCTCTCACTGCGTGCTCTCCTCTGTGTCTCTTGATTGCTAATGTGACTTTCCAGAAAACTGATGTTATAAAAAAAGTTTCGTACTTCAATATCGATTATTGCAAATGATTGGAAAGTTTGTTACGTATATCTCTACTCCTTCTACTTTTATTTCCTCATTTCCACCATGAAATTTCTATGACAAGTAATTTCCGTGAAATTTATAGTAATTAAAAATTTCCAAGAAACCAATGCGGAAAGAAAGTAAACATTAAAAAAGATATGTCTCCCATAGTTTTCAATTTATATGATCGTTACATTTTATCATGTGCATTTTTCTTTAATTTACAATAAAAAAATCGCGAGGTCAATATTTTCCGCTATCTTTCAACGTCATCATCATTCTCCCAAAAAAGATTAAAATTAAAAGAGAGAACGATGTACATTTTGAACTACAATGCTAATCGTTACGGATGAATCGAAAGTTACAACAGTTCGAGTTCCAACTCGTCGAGAAGAGCTAACTGGCAAAATTGGCGATCATATGTGCGCCGTACTTGAAACTGACGCGCGTATCAGAGAGAAAAAAAAAAGACGCCGTGTTTCTCGACGTGTCTGCACGCCTACTCTCGGCACGCTCGGACAGCGCCGCTTTAAAAGCTCGTGGGAATTTGCACGCGGAGCTTTCGCGCCTCTGGACGATCGCGCGCGTCGAACGCGTCGTTTACGAACGAACCGACAGGCCGCTTGTTATATTTAGCACTGTGACTAACGACTCCCCCGCCTTCCGTCCCCCCCCCCTCCCCCCCTCGTGAACTTGCAAGCTCATCCGCAACGTTCTTTCTCATCTCTCTCTCCCTTTTTCACGCTTCGGTCTTTCCTCGTTCCATCGGGTCGCGCCCAGTTACAGAATCGATTACGCGCGATCGATAGTGACCCCTTGATCCCGTTGTGCGAGCATAATGATCCATTGTGCTACCGCTTAATTACGCAAGTTCCTTTTGCTAATTAATCGCGAAGTTATATCACAAATGCTCGGCGCCGATCCTTGCGCCTGAGCAGCCTTCACCTTGGTATTAAGGAGATAAAGGTATGTAATTAAAATCAAGATTTTTCAGCAAAAAAGTTCCCTACTTATACTTATACGCTTGTATTACAATTTGTATTATTTATTAAAAATTAAAATTTATTAAAAATTATTTATTAAAATATAAATCTCCTATTTATCTCCCATTTTAGAAAAAAAAAATCACCGAGCAATTACCAATCTGCTTGATCACATTGACAATCGCACGTAATAGACTTTACATTGTATAATTGTAATTCTATTATATAAATTGATATTTTATTTCACAAGCACTTATAGTTTTATATTGTGCGTATACGAAACAACTAATACATATAATATGTTCAAAGAAGATAATTTGTTCGTGACAATTTTGTTGGTAATTATTATTACAGATGCATTTTAAACATATTATGGAATATCTCTTTATCTCATTATTACATAAAAAAATTAATCAACTTTAATAAACAAGAATTTTAAACAGATAAGAAATAAATCCGTGCAATAGAACGAGATTCATCATGATTCATTTGCGGAATATCGAATTGATTGGATGAGATAAGGTCAGGAAGAGACATTTTCGTGATGTAGCTGCGAGGTATCGAGAAAAGGAAAAATATGTTACATACTAGACTATATCGAAAAAGAAAAATCAAGTCCTGACATTTAAACGTACTTTGACAATTTTCCGATCAGATCTGCGCGACAAAATGTAACGTATTTTTTAAGAAATATATAATATAATATAAAACATCAAAATAGTACGCGCAAACGCAAGATATCTTGAAATATATGAAAAATTGAATTAAATCTGTCTGACAAAGGGAACAAAGTTGATTTTCAAGCGTAGCTTTCCAGTAGCACAAAGTGATCGACATTATTCGATTAGCTCGTAGATACGCGCATGGAATAATTAAGAGTTTCTCTCAGCTACTCTCACAATTGCAGAAAAAAATTACGTTGCATTTTATTTTTTTAATGTTAATAACATATTGAAGTAATAACATTTCTTCACAATTATCTATTATTTTTTTATGGTCACTTTGATAGTCACAAATATAGCGAAAAAAAATATCAATTATTTCTAATATAAAAAAATATGCTTAACTTGATTGAAGTTAAAACGCGTCTGTAATTATGTTACGAGCCATTAAAAATATAGAAAGTTTTACGGATTAAATTTAAAAATTTAAATTTTAAAAGTGCACCTTATTCTTAAAGTTTAAGTTATAGATGAATTTTATTGCGATAAAATATTAATCTCATAACAATTATGCTATAGAATACGAATCTATCTGGTCAAATCGAAGAAATTTAAAAGAAATAAAAATTATATAATGTGATATTTGTTAAATATAAGAAAGTGACACATTAAACGTGTCGGATCGTTGACAACCTGTCGTGCTAAACGAGTTGAAAAACGCTCGCGTACTTACAGGTACTTATTCACACGCGTTCATGTCGCCCTAGAGTGCCACGCAATCGTAAAGTAAACACTTTCAACGTGAATTTGCACGTCGACGAGGCTCGATTGAAATTACAACCTGTTACACACGGTGGAGGCGTCGCGACGCGCCTGTAATTGCACCCCGTCGCCCGAGCTACTTCAATTCTTGTCACAAGGAAGAGATAAAATAGATAAAAAAGAAAGAGAGAGAGAGAGAGAGAGAGAGAGAAAGAGAAATAAAGAGAGTGAGTGAAAAAAGCGTAAATCGAAGCGGAGTGATACCTAGAGACCTTGTTTGACAGCCAACTCATATATCTTATATATTCACGCAATTCGCCACGCTTATTTCTACTTAATGAAACAAACGGATGGCTTGACATGATATAACGCTGCATAAGCAAATCGAGGGATGATATAACGCAAAGTGATTACACCGATCGAGGATCGATCCGAGTGAGGTAATCGTCGCTTCTGTTCACGAGTAGAACAATAGACATTGTCAGATTCCAACAAATGGGAGATTACTTCCTCTTACTTCCTCTTCCCGCGGCATAAAATGCTATAATTTTTATATAATATGTTGAAATACTTTTATTTGCCAAGAATTTGATTGACTCAACGCGAAGAAAGTATTACTCAACTTCAACTTGTGCAATTGCCCCTAATACTCTGTTGTGTAACGTTGTAGCAAGATGCATCTGACAGCAATGTTGTTATGTCATTGGAAATAAGTTTACAATATATCTTATACTTTATCCAAGCTAAGTCATTCAATATAATTTTTATATCGATGGAAATACTACCCACGTTAAACAAAATAGACGGCATACGGATGTAAAGACATCAGAATGTTTAGAATATTTATTGTCCAAAAAAAAAATCCAGAAAAATCTTTTGCAATAGTTTTTTTTAATTCTGTATATTTTGAAGCAACTAACATATCCAATTACTCATGTACGAACTTGTATAACTTGGGATTAACACCGCGGGAAAGACCGCGCTCCGATGAGGCAAAGCGTATTTTCGCGCGGAATTTTCGTGCATGGAATTGCACAGAACGAGACACTCGTGATAAATCGATCCTCCCTCCCCCCTTCCTCCTCGTGCTGTCTACTAGTTACCTGTGGCGGTATCACATCGTATAGATTATTACTATCGATTTATCGGGATTTAATGTCGAGAAGAGTAAAGTTAAGTAAAGTTCGACAATTATTTTCTGAAAATATTGCGCC